CACTGAGCTGGCTCCCCAGGTTTTACTCTATATATCTCATAACTAAGTTTGTGATTATAAAATTTTCATTTATGTCATAAATTCTCAGTGGATTACTTATACCTTTAGCCATTCTGAAACACTTTTGTGGCCTATTTAATTTTTGCCTTCAATTTTATGTTGTTTACTGTTAATATTGATACACTTATATCCTTATATTTTTTTGGATGTCTTACATCTGACTCTTTTTTTTTTTTTTTTTTTTGTGGAACTGGGGATTGAACTCAGACCCTTGCACTTGCCAGGGAAGCACTTATTCTACTGAGCCATCTCCCCAGCCCCATCTGACTCATTTTTTAAAAATTTTTATTTTATTAAGAAACAAATAGCAATGAAACAGTTTCAAAACTGATTAATAGGACAGTTTCAATAATTAATACACTGTACATTGTTATCTTCTTAGTGGTCATCCACAGTACAAGATGCAGACAAGATATCCTGTCCAAACACTATTAGTACAAATCTTTCTTCTCATTGAATTAAGTGAAAGTAGCTGTATATCTATCCTAACTATTTCACATCTATAGATACAAAATGGTCCTTCCTTTGTATCCTTTTTTTTTTGTCTAGTCCTGTCAGAGATGGGTATTCCATTGGCATCTAAATACTATAGGTGCATGAATTTAGCAAAACGATCCAACACAGTCCAGCAGTCCACAATAGTAGTGGGTTATCCACAGAAGTTGTTGACTTGAGCCTTTCACAGCTCAGCATATTAATATGGCTTTACTTTATATACCTCATTTTTTATACTTTTCTGCTGGATGGTTAAGATCAAGATAAAGCAAGATCTATATAACAAGAAATGTAACTTTAGTGTCTGATAAGGTCAGTCAAGTACTCTCAGGATTTATCCTGTAACCCTGTACTGTACTTTGCAGATACTTTGTCAGTGTCAGCCATGTGGATGAGTCATGGCCATTGCTTGACCAATTTATTCTTTGTGAAAGCCTGAGAGAATATTTTCTCTCCAGGTGACTCTCCTTAGACACACTCTACACATCTGACTCAATTTTAAAGGTATGTCTCAAACAGTATCTTATGTTTGGATTAAAAAATTCCAACCTGAGATTTTCTTCCACTAGGGAATTTAATCCCGCTACTGTTAGTGCCACTGAAATGGGGTCTTGCAATATTGCCCAGGTTCACTCAAACTTCTACACACAAGAGATCCTTCTCCTTTAGCCTCCTGAGTAGCTGGGACTATAGGTATCTTTAGGTACATTCCATTAAGCTCAGTTAGTCACAATTATTTTGATTATTAATATGCTTGGATTTATTTCTGCTGTTTTATTTGTACATATACATATTTTTCCCTTCACAAGTGCTTTCCTTTTCAGGATTAAATACTTTTTCTGCTTTAAATTCTTTAGTGGTTTAGACATCTACAATGTTTTTATTTTATTATTGTATACTTAAAGTCTTTTACACACTTATAGATTTTAAATCAAATCCCTGAGTTATCTGGCAGATTAATTCTTTACCAAAACAGGTAGATTTATGGCTTGCCTCCATGTCTATTATCTCCAGCTTTCTAACCCATATATTGAAGTTATCTTGTATTTTCATTCCAGATTATTATACAAAAGAAAAAAAGGATATATTTAATTAGCTTTTTCTCCTTTTGCATTACAATATCGGAAAATTCCTCAAGTTTCTAACCCATTGCTAAAGGTATTATTTTACTTTTTTAATGTATTTAGTAGAGGGTATAAAGGGTCTCACTACACAGATAGGACTTGTAGGGATTCTCATGTTTTCAGCCTCCCAAGCAATGGGATTACAGGTTTGCGCCACCACACCCAGTCTCAATCTCAGTCTCAGTGCGCCCCCCGAGGTGGGGATGGTATGGCACTAAAGGTATTATTTTAGATATATTAGAAATATTATCTGTCATTCTTCTCTTCTCTCTAAATTAATAATTTTCATCATCACTCCCAACTAGCTTCGTAATAGGCACTGGGGCTGCAATGGCTTATCCTCATGTGTCTGTGCTATGAGGAGTTATAGTGCCCCCACCAGGCTCCACACAATACCAGAGGAAAGAAAACAGTGGAGATTTTGGTCTTTCCTTGGGCCACCATGATGATTCTGATTCTAAATAAAACACAGGCATAGCAGAGGGATTTGGGAATATTTAGCACGAGGAAAGAAGATCATGAACTGAAGTTGAGAGTGGTCTTGCCCTTTTGGGCTTCTCATAAGCACAGACCCTGTAAAACCCAGAAAAACGTCACTCCTTCCAAGACACCCAGACAACAGCCCCACAGGCTTCTGAATGAACTCTGAACTGAAAGAAAACTATACCAACCTCTAGGCTGAAGGAGGGATAGCTCAGGACATGCAGAGCCAGCAAATCTATCTCATCTCTAGCATTCTCTATGGATGATGATCACCAGTGGTATGAATATGGAGGGCACAACTAAAACGGCAAAAACACTCTGAGAGGCCTCTGGGATATGAACAGGAATGTCAGGTAGATGCTCCTAGCCTGTCATCTAGCTCTGGGTTGCAATTGGCTTGACATATCCTGTAGGTACTTGGTTGCTCAGCATTTTGGCAGGTGCTGACACCGAGTGGTGGTGAGAAAGGAAGGCCACTAGAAACTCAGGGAGTCCTGGTTTCTCCAAAGGAGAATGACTAGCACTAAGCCACCCAAATCCACAGATGAAAGCCTTGTTCCATTCAAATTCCTAGAATTAAAAAGAGGAGAATTTCATGTGCTTCAGGAGTAACCCAGGGGCCACTTTTAGGCTCTGCTGAGTAGAGGAGGGACTAGGGCTGGGAACTTGCCTGAACTGCAGGATGCACTTGCTCTCAAAAACCATGGGCATGAAGGTGAAGGATGTGTGAGCTTCAGGCCTCAGAAACAAGCATCTAGGACTCTTGCGTCATCCCTGCAGCACACTGTGCATTTGCTATTTGTCTCCCGTCTCATCAGCACTCTGGTCTCTGGTGATGATTGCCCATGAGAACGGTGTTTCACTACTTGCTTACATTTTTCTGTAAGTGTTCTTGGCCCTAAGATGAGAATTCTATGGGCTGATCAATTTACCTGGCTTGCCACCCTCAAGAATTCTATGAAAGACTACAAAAATTCTAAGTATAGTTTTGAAAATCCACAGGGTTTGTTTCTGAGCACACAGAGAACAGAATGCAGCCAGCTCACATCACTTGGGAGTCTGAGGGTCCACTCAACTAGAGTAATAGACCATGAGTTCTTCACATGTTCAGGAAAACCACTATATTTAAGGAGAAGGGCAGAGGATGTAGTCTGGTAATAGAGTGCTAGGCTCTGAATTCAACCTCTAGTACCAATAAACACAGAAAGTATGAGAGGGGAGGGAGAGAGGGAGGAGGAAGAGGGAAAGAGAGAAAGGACAGTTATATGTGGTTTGCTAACCTCATGCCAAGTTCAAGCCATGGCATACTGTTGATTCACAATACTGTGGACTTCCCTGAGAGCTCAACAGCTCACAGGCAAGGGCACACAATAGAACATGAATGGAAGACTATGAAGGACATAACTGACTGAGCAGGCAATCAGCCAGGGTGACCATTTCTACATCCAACATTCACATGGTTCTGGTTCCTAATCCACACGATCTAAGAGGACAGTGATGTCAGAAAACCATAACTTCAGGGCAGAATGCTAAGTCTCCACTCTTTTAGCAATGTCCTCTTTGACTCTGCACTCAGATCGGTCACATCCCATGGCCATGCTTTCTGAGATTCAAGCTACCTATGGAGAAATTTTTCTTTTTAAACCAAGAATTAAACTCAGGACCTTGTGCTTGCCAGGCAGGCACTGTGGTACTGAGCTATATTCCTGACCTGAGAGACTGTCTCTTTACATGCTCTCTATCCCTCCCCAGGCCACATAAGGTGCAGTGTTTTCCTGATCCTTTCCACATGGTCCAAAATTGTCTCCATTCCGTGACTCTCCTGAGCTCAATGCCTCCAGTCTCCCCAGGGGCTCAGCAGGAGGAACCATCTTGCTGAAATTCAATCTCCATTATAAGGTGATAAGAGGGTTGAAGCTTAATATCACAGTGATGTCTACAGATGGGCCTCTCGAAGGTGGTTAGGGTTAGATAGGTCATCAGTGTTGACTACTCCTAGGATGGAATATGTGGATTTACAGGAGGAAAAGAGACCAAAGAACTGATGAATGGACACATGTATGGAGACAGACAGACAGACAGACACACACACACACACACACACACACACACCCCTTTATTTTTTTAACCATACAGTGCCCCATGATGCCTTAGGACTTTGTCTATTACTAGATGAAGTCCATAACCTTTGGACTTCCTGAACCATGAGCAAAAATTCTTCATTACATAACCAGTCTGTGGCACTGTGTTAACAACAAAAAAATGGGCTAAGACAGAAGGGTACCATTAGGAATTCAGTTCTATAAACAATTGACATATTAGGCATCTAGGTAGAAATGTCTTAAGGGCTGGTGGCTACTAAAGTCTGGAATTCATAGGAAGGATGTGAAATGAATAGAAACAGGTGGTGTCATCAGAACAGACTGCACTTAAAGCCATGAATATGGATAACATCTTAGAGGTACGGTGTAGAATGAAGACTAAATTAGTTACCTCAGAAAGACCAAGATAACTCAAAAAGACCAAATGACTTACCTCAAAATCAAGTGATAAAGTCATCAATCATTGACAGGGTCAGGCAGGGCTATATATTGCACATATAAACTTGAATTTCAACCCACTATTATGTCTTTACACACTAATCCTTTACCCTTAGGTGTCAATGTCCCTTTGAGAAAGTTCATGAATTTTGTGGATCTTCTCAGAGGAAGGCACTCAGATACAACAGGACTATAGCATGACTGGGTATTCCCAGAGCTAGGCCAGAAGTTCCCAGGAGTTGGATTCAAAATCAACTCTTCCTCAATTGCACGGAGGTTTTCTTATGGCAAGACTCACCACCATCTCCTGGACCTGAAACATCTCTGCACCACCAGGTGACAGTCGGTTGGGGAATGACACACTGACGGATGATCCAGGAAGGGTGCTCGGGCCAGTGTTATAGACCTACAGGTACAAAACACAGAGCAAGCTTCAGTGGAAATACAAGACTTTTATCTCATGCCGTGTAATATGTACCCTCGGACTCTTTGACTTATGCACAGATATCCTAGGGTTTGGATCTAGGTCATGACTTCAGGTGATGTGACATTAAATGAGGGAAACTCTGACAGAATAGAAATTCTTCCAATGGGTATCTAAAAATCTTACACCTACATATTACATATTCCATTTTAGCATTTTCGTCTCATTCTCCTATTAAGACATTTATTTTTAAATGACTAGAATTTTACTTACAGACTATAGTAGGTGAAAATTCAGAATAATCTAGTTCAGTGGGATTCAAACTTTAGTATGAGATCAGAATCATCTATACAGATTGGTACTGAGGGGGGCAGGGCTGGGGTTAGGGAGGTCATGCCCAGTTTCTGAAGCAAGTTTTTGATGGGATTGAAGCACTGCATTTCTAAGGAGGAGCAGCAGCAGCTGCTGTCACTGTTGCTGTTGACCTATGACCCACCTCCTCAGAACCATTACCATGGTCCAACCTCCTTCCTTTTATACTTTGAAGTAATAGAGACCTTAAAAGATCAAATGAGTTACCTCAAAACCAATTAATCTGTAGTGAACAGAAAGGGATGTTTTAACCTAATGATCCAGCCTTTTCAACTTCTAGGCATTGTACCTACTTATTAATATTTTTTCAAAATTTTATTGATAAACAGATAGCAATGAGAGTTTCAAATCAAATCGGAAGTACAGTTTCAACAAATAATACACTGCATATATTCTTCTTAGTGGTTAATTGCTGTACAAGATGCGGACTTGAGATCCTATTTACAAACACCATTAGAACAAATCATTCTATTCATTAAGAGAATGCAGCTATATATATCTATCCTAACCACTTTGAATACACAGATACAAAATGGACATTCATCGGTATACCCCATTTTTCTAAGTTTCGTTATTGAATACTATAGGTATATAAACTCAGCAAAATATTCTAAAAGAGTCCAGTAGCCCATAATAGCATTGGGTCTTCTGTTTAACTGGCAATGTCAGAAATTATTGACCTGAGTCCCCCATAGCTCAACATAACAACATGGCTTTACTTCCTATATTTCGTCTTCATACTTTTCTACTGGATGGTTAAGACCAAGGTAAAGCAGGACCTATGCAACAAGAGTTGTAGCTTTTTGGTCTGACAAGGTCAGTGAAATGCCCTCAGGATTTATTCTGAGATCCTGTACCTCAGATTGTAGAACCTTTGTCAGTGTCAGCCATGTGGATGAGTCACGGCCATTGCTTGGCCAATGTGCTCTCTGTGAAAGCCTGAGAGAGTGTCTTCTCCCCATGTGACTCTCCTTAGGCACACTCTACGGCATCGATCACTTTCCTCTTTGGCCCCATAATCTTCTTGATCAGAAAATTTGGGACACTACCGAGGTACATGACGTTACAGTACAAGTTCTCATATGTCCTGAGTCTTAATTGACCTTAGAAGGTTAGGACCAAAATGTTGGCTTTCCTTGTAGCCCTCCTTTTTCTCTAATTTTGGTCTGCAAACTTAGGTTGTTAACCATCCAGAAGACAAGCTTATTGTTATTATCAAACTATTTAGGCTATCAAGCTTAACCTCACTATCTCACTGCATTTCAAACATCTTAGGCATAATAAGGAACAGGTATTTTTCATCAAGTATTATTAATATTTTTTAATTACGTCTGTGTACCTCTTTCCTGTTCCAGAATTTGCTCTTATAAAACTTTACCTCTCTTCTTCTCTCTACTATCCATTTTGTTTTCTGCATTTAGAAGTCAGTCATATCCCAAGAAATGAGGGAAAAATGCTGGCCATAAAGAGAACATAAAGAATAAGGAAACAGCCAAGGCTGGATACGAAACCCAAGCAAGACACAGAATGTGAAAGAGAAAGATAAAGATATGTAGATCTATAAAGACAGAAAGTAGATTAATGGTTGCTTGAGATCAGGATTAAGGAAAAGAGGCAGAAAAACAGGATCTCAAAGATGTCTATTTCTAATCTGTGGAACCTATAAAAGTTGGTACATGGAAGAGTAAGGCTGCGGACAGAGAATTAAAGTTGCTGTAGTGGTTGATACATTGTACAACTTGAGAAGTTAAAAGCTTAACCAAATTAGCTCAGCAATTTTACACCCTAGGGCATAGAGGTCCCTCCCTAGGGCATGGAGGCCCCTTCTCTAGGGTGTGGAGGGCCCTCCCTAGAGTGTCTCAGCACTTAAAGGATATAAAAGAAAATTAAAGAAAGATAAAATGCCTCACTTTCTCCAAGGAGCTCTAGGCTTTGTAATCAGCACACAAAAAAAGAGAGGTTTGCTAAAAACCACATCTGCTGGCTCCCTACTTTGCTCATTGCTGTTTTCTGCTGCCATAAACTGTTGCCCTCTGCCATATGCGACTCTACCTTAGAACCAGCCAAGTATAGACTAGGATCTCTACAAACTGTGAGCTAAATAAACCTTTTCTAACTTTGGGTGTTGGATATTTTGTCCCAGCAATGAGTAAAAAATAATCAAAACCATTGTTAACCAGATGACTTTCAGACAAAAGACTATCTTGGATTATCCAGATGGCTACATAATCACAAGGGCCCTTACGTAGGGAAGAGGGAGCAGAAGGTGCAGAATCAGAGATACAACCCTGTAAGATGAGCCCCACCCATGCTGGCTTTGCAGATGGAAGGGACCCATAAGCCGAAGGTTCACGCAGCCTCCAGAAAATGGAAAAGGTGAGAAATGAATGCTTTCTAAGTGTTCAAGTGAAACGCAAGAGCTGCATATTTTTCACTTTCTATTAAAAGCTGGAAATGATTAAGCTACATACAAAGCCGAGACAGCCCAAAAGCTAGGTCTCTTACACTGGTTAGTCATGCTGTGAATATGAAGGAAAATTTCTTGAAGGACCTGAAAATGCTCCTCCAGTGAACACATGAATGACAAGAAAGTGAAACAGTCTTGTTACTAATCTGGAGAAAATTTTAGTAGTCGGGATAAAGAAAATCAAACCAGCACACTGTTCTAAGCCAAAGCTAAATTCAGAGTAAGGCTCTAATTCTCCTTAATTCTATAAAGGTGGGGAGAGGTAAAGAAGCTGCAGGAGAGAAGTTTTAGGCTAGCAGGGTTTGGTTCATGAAGTTTAAGCAATTGCTATAACATAAAAGTGTAAAGCAACACAGCATATATGGAGGTAGAAGCTATTCAGAAGCTCTGGCTATCACTGATGAAGGTAACAACAATGAACAGCATATTTTTAAGGTAAATAAAGCTTTTTTTTTTTTTTTTTTTAAGAAGCTGGCATTAGGATTTTCATAGCTAGAGAGGAAAAGTCAGTGCTTAGCTTCCAAGCTAGGCCACACTGATTCTCTCGCTAAGGGTTAACATGGTTGTTACTAAGGTAAAGCTGAGGCTCATGTACCATTTTGTAAATCCTATGGCTCTTAAGAATTATACTAAACATACTTCTCCTGTGCTCTATAAATGGGACAACACAGCCTGGATGAAAGCACATCTGTTTACAACATGGTTAAATGAGTATTTTAAGCCCATTGTTGAGTTGAGACCCACTGCTTAGGCAAAAAAAAAAAAAAAAAAAAGTTTTACTGCTCATTGAGGATGCATGTGGTCAGTTATGAGCTCTGATGGAGATATATAATGAGATTAATTATTTTTTCATGCCTGCTAATACAATATCCATTCTGTAGCCCATGGATCAAGGAGTACCTTGATATTCAGAATTTACTATTTAAGAAATACATTTCATTTCATTAGATTATAATTGCTTGGGGCTAGGGAGATATCTCAGTGGTCCCAGACCTGCCTGGCAAGCACAGAGACTCAGGTTTGATCCCCCGTATTGCATGCCATGCAGGCCCAGAGAACCCCAGGTGTGCTATGCAGGCCACCAAAATTGGATTTGTCCTCTTTAATTTCTTATAACTTTATTTTTTATTTTGATTTATTTTTACCAATTTTACAAGCTTATGTCTGGTAATCTGAACAACTAATTTGAAGACAACATTTTGCAATACACCAACCACTGTCAAATTCCTACTGATTTATTTGATGAAGTTCCGTATTACTTTTTAAAATGTATTTGGTTGTTACAGGGTCTCACTATACAGCTCAGATGTATGGTGATCCTCCTGCTTTCAGCCTCCCCCGTGCTGGGATTACAGGCTTGCACCTCCATACCTGGACTCTGGCCTGCTCAGCCCGCCTGGGGGTGGGGCACAGCATGTAGCATCAAGGATTGAACCATGGTCCCTGAGCTTGCCTAAGCTGGTGCTTAGGCTGCTGAGCTATTTTGCCTGCCCCTTCTGTATTAATTTTTTATCACTTTGTATTCTCATTAGATAATAAAAAATTAGATGATGATGATGAAAGTAAAACCGTTAAACATTAAAAACTATTGAGCTGTTTACTACTTCAAATGGGTAAACTTCACAATGCAGACTGAAAAACATCTTTTAAAAGATTAGTAAAATATGTATAATTTTAATTTGTCAATTTATTTTTATTTTTTAAATTTGTCAATTAAAAAAGGTGAATAGATAAATGGGAAACAGGATGAAATGAAATGCTGATTTTTAGTTTAAGAGGTAGAGACTCAAAGACTCAAAGCATCCCTGACATTGAGGTCAAAAAGGCAGGGACAAAAAAGGGGTTGGTGGTGCTGGAAATCTAACCAGACCTTCCCATATGAAAAAATGTCAAAGGATCAAGTTCCAGCCAACTCTTCTCTCAGAAACAGTCTTTATTCTTTTACAATAGTTTTCTTTGCTTTGAGTCAAATCTTGGTTCAAAAAGGACATAATTACCCAAAAACAAGCACCCCAAGGCAGGAGAAAAGGAATATCCAACCACAAGTGAAATAGCTAATTAGATGTGAAATACGAGAGCGCAGAAATGGAAAGAACCTTCTTCACATGTCTGGGAAGTCCCAATCGAAGCACGAGTGGGCATGAGCAAAGGGGAAGAGGATCCCATTTAACTGACTGCACTCATCAGAGCCCAGGGCTTAGAAGAACTTGTGTTATCTTAGATTTTAAACAATATATAGACACTTGATTTTCTGCAAATGTTCATGTATGACCTCTGTAGTAGTTTCCCTTACTCTTTTTCAGGTGGGGAAATCTTTGATTCCTGATGCAAAAACAAAAAAACAAAACAAAACAAAACAAAACAAAAAACACAAAAAACCCACATCCAAAGTCTACAAATGGTCAACAAATGCTGTACATTTGTTTTAAAAAACAGTGAAATGTACACAGCAATGCCAAGAATAGCCATTTCTTCCTTTGTCCCATTTGTATTTGCAATGAAATCCTCTAACAATTATGTATGTAGGTTGTGAATAACAAATTTTAAAAGACACAGAAAAATCCGTTCATAAGCCAAGTCTTATGTTTTTCTTCAGGAATGCTGCTGGAACATGGAAACTTAGAAGAGACTCTCCATATGCCTGTCCACATCCTTCCCTATTCCTCTACTTTCTGGTCACTCTGACACCTACATGGTCAACGATCTTTCCACTAATGACAAGTATACCAGAAAACATGTGGTCAGAGAAGTCTCATGGAAATAATGGGCACTGATATCACACAGTTATCTCCTCCTAAACAGCAGCACCCACTGTCAATCTCTCAGACCCAGCTGACTGTCTTAGTCTTAGATTGAAAGCTATGCACTTTTTCAGGCAATGGCTCATGAAGCAGTTTATCTAAGGGACATACCAATCATTCACTCTTCAGGGTCAATTTATCAGCCTGCATCATATTTCAGGGCAGATGTGAAGAAAACTATTTGCCTGAGCACTAAATTTTAAGCTGATTGTAAAAATACCTTCAAAGAAACAACTGGAAGAGTAAACTGCATGCTCTTAACTTTCTTTTTTCTCCTTCTCCCTTCCATTCCCTTTTCAGTAGGCCACAATATTTAGTAGCATTTGTGTAATTACTATTCTTCTACTTGTCTCCTTTCAATACCTGTACCCTCTTCATTATGTCTATGTCATTTCTAAATAATTTTCTTTTTTCGGAACCAAGGATTGAACTCAGACCCTTACACTTGTGAGAGAAGTACTTATTCCACTGAGCCATCTCCCTGGCCCCTCTAAATAATTTTCTTGACCACATATTTTGTTGAAAGGTATCTCAAAAACTTTAAAAGAGTATAAATGCCTAAAATTAAATAAAACCATCTGGTCTTTATCTGTTTCCTATCCACTTGCAAAACACAAAGGAAAAACATAAACTAACTCTGAGAAGCAATTCAGAAACACAGAGGTGTGATTCACAGCCATCACCCTATAGTCTCCAAAATAAGGCCTAACCCTATTTTTCCCTTCCCTGCTTGTAAATCAAGGGCAGGGTATGACAGATGGGGCTTAGCTGGTCAGGATGCACATCCTCTGTGAGCTGGGAGCATATGTTATCCATCATGGTTCTGGAGTGTTCTGACTGTGAGAGTGCTGGAGAGAGGAAGACCATTGTTTGCAAGAGCCCACAATGCTTTACTGCTTCATTCTCTAAACTCTCACCCCATCATTATTTGCTATTCTCTAAGTCCATTTAGGAGAATCCACGGGGAAAGAATATACTCATTCTCTGGCCAGAGTAGTAATATCAGAGTGGAAGAACATTTTCTCCATAGGAAAGAATAGAAGACAGAGCAAGAGCTCTGGAAGCAAGAGATGTAGACTCCAGGGCCCTGTGGGTAAAATGGACCAGTCTACCTTACTTCATCCACAGCTCCTGGCCAGGAGCCGGTCCACGTGGGTCTAGGCAGTGCCCGAATAGTGTGGCTCCAGCTGCACTTCATCCAGCTCTAGGGCTTTTTATTCTGCATGTTCTTTCTCACTTGGGCCTGTATGTCCCTGCTCATTTGTTGAGGGGGACATGGGCTGGATAGTGCCAAGGTCCCTCTAGTTTTACATTCACTAAGGCACATGATGAACAGTTGGCCAGAGAGTTCACATTTTAAAAGCAGAGGTCAATAAACTATGACTAAATGTGGCCCAGTGTCTCCTGTTGTACAGTCTGTGAGCTCAGAATGGCTATTTTATATCATTAAATAGTTGGGAAAACAATCAGAAGAGTAATAATATTTTATGATACGTAAAAATTATGTGAAACTTATATTTCAGTGTCCATAGCTAAGGTTTTATTTATGTAATGTCCACTCTTACCTTGGTACTACTGTAGCATGGTGAAATTGTTGCCTCACACACCACCTGGCCCACTAAGCCTATAACACTTACCTGTTAGGCATTTTCAGAAAGTTCACAACCCATAGTCAAAAGAAGGGACAGTGTTCTTTATGGTGTCCACAGTCCACACTGGTGGACCTGCTGGGGGTGATCTTAGGAGACTGGCATGAGCCAGCCCCAGGTCACAGAGGGAGCGGTATGCTTCTTCCTGTGAAGGTTTACACCAGCACACATTGCTTTGCCTTGCAAAGCTGCACTTCCCAAAGGCTGCTTCCCTTGGGGAGACGTGGGCTCCTGGCTAAGTTGGCATGGAAACCGCAGGGGAATGGGATGCAAGTGATCCTCTGAAGCTCCCCTGCCTCTAAGGCAGAGAATGATGCAGATCAAAAAGGGTTCCTAAAGGACCATGTAGGCTGGGACACTGGCCTTGGCTCAGCCACATGGAATTGTTGGTAGTAAAGCTGATGATCATCTTGGTGTACTGCTCCTTTCAAGTTGTGGAAAGTCTGCATATGTAGCTACAGAGAACACGCATGTGTGTATGCACACACACATGCGTGTGCACACACACGCACACATGCCCCAGCAAATCAGACCAGGGACGGTTTCTCCTGAAACAAGCTCGTCCTTTAACTGTGCTTTTAGGAGAAACATTCCAGGGGCCTTCTCTGTGATAGAGGTGGTTTCTAGGTATGGATACCTGAATGGTTACGTTGAGGGGTTGAAAATGACACTCCAGGTCATCCAGCTGAATGAAGTTGGACGTGTCCACAGACTCACCATACACAAATGAAGTTGGAGACATGATTCTGAAAAGGAAGGCAGGAATATTGTCACCCCAAACCAGAGTCAAGCACTCACAGTCACTGCTATCCTGAGAACACAAACGTCTGTATTTACTGCAGTGTCTCCCACCAAATGTTTACCTTCTGGGACTATTCTTTCTCTTTCTTTTGAAGGGATTATCCAATCTATTTTCTAAACAGATAGTTTTATTATGTCTTCTAGCCCTAGAGCATATCACTAAGATACATATACTTTAGGTATCTAGATATTGGGATTAAATTTCTAAAATGAAAAGTTTTAGGGCCAGGGAGATGGCTCAGTAGAATAAGCGCTTGCCTGGCAAGCACAGGGGCCTGAGTTCAATCCCCGGTTCTGCAACAAAATAAACAACTAAATAAAATAAATATAAATGAACTATGTATCTGGAGCTCAAGCCTTACCCTGACATCTATTCATTTCAAAAATCTAATTTAAACTTGTCAGTCTATCATAATTACCAAAAACTAGGTATCACAAAGTCAAGTCAATTCAGTGACAGCATTTTCTCTCAGATCTCAGGCAGAGGCTAAAGAATTCAAGCTCAGTTTGTAACAATACTTTCAATGTGACTACTAGGAACAAACCCCTGAAAAGAAATAAAGCTTCTACTGACACCCCAAATAATGAATCCTAGATACTCAAAGCTGCCTACTTACCTAAGCACAACCAGGCTGAGAATTTTGGTACAAGTCCCGGTAGACAGCAACCTAAGTATTTTCAATTTAAGCACATTGTTTTGGCAACACAGTGAGTTCCCTGCATTGCCAAATGTCAAGAACTAGTTGTCTAAACTCACCGTGTTTTGAGTTCCCGGAAAGATCAGAGGTTGACACATTTGTTTACCTGATGGCTTCACCAGGGCCTGTTAGCACCTCACAGTGAGGTCTCCTAAGGCCTAACAACACGATCACATGTGGGTGGGAGGTGTCGTCTCTTTCCCCAAGGATAGGGCTTGGTTCTGGGTATAGTCTCACTATTCTTAAGACAGGACAAATAAACTATATGGTAAAAAATAGAGCTGTGAACAAAGGCAAATACATGCTAATTGCTAAGTCTGTTCCAATGCCTCATGTCTAGAAAACATGATGACAATGCCAAGAGCTCAGGCACAGAAAAGCCAGGTCACTCATTCCCCTGGCTCTCAGCAGGACAGGAACTATTATAGGCATGGCTCCTCTGAAATGTAGCAACATTCCTTTTTCCAGCCAAAGAAGCAACCCAGAAGCACTTGAAAAATGAGAAACTGTGAACCTCTAGAAAGTTCAGCTTGCTTTTTTTTGTTGGAGGGGGCAGTACCGGGATCAAACTGAGGAACTTGTGCTACGCCAGGCAGGTGCTTATGCCTGCTGAGCTATCTCCCCAGTCCTCAGCTTACGTTTAGGTCAAAGCTCCTATGGTTCTTCATTTGATCTAAATTGATTGTGCAAAAATTTTTTTTTTCCGACTATGTTCTCTGTTTTCTGTAGCTGGGAGTAGGAACTCATTTTTCTAGCCCAGGCTTTGGCTGCAAATGACCTGGGCTGTGGGGTTCTCTGTAGACTACAGCCTGCAGGCCTGCTTTCCAACAACACCAGCAGTACTGTGTGGTGGTGGTCTTCACATGTACAGACAAGGTGGCCGTCCTGATAGTTCCCTAACCACTCTAGGTCATCACAGATACCAGGCAGAACCATCTGTGGCTCCGCAGAAGGAAGTAACAGAAAAACACAAAGCCAGTGCCAACTGTGAAGCTAATCAGAAGAGTAGCCCTCCTGTGAACCAAAGCTTGAAACACATCTGGCAATAACCGCTGGCTGAGATTTGAATCCCAAGAACCACACTCCAGCCACCATTATGGCACTACGATGGGGTACAGATGCATATGAAGGTGTATAGAATGTTCAAGAAATTATGTTTTGTCATCAAACTTCTGGTGTCACCAACTGGCAAGTGGATAGCTAGGATAGAAACCAGGGAAGAGGGGGGAACAGCTGAGGCATCATCCTGCTTTCCAAGACTGGGAGGAAAGGAGCAGCAGGGCCACTGCTCCTGACTGGCGACATGCACAAACACAAAACAGCAAAGCACTCACTTGGAGGGCACCCCTGAGCCCTCCAGCCACCCAGGCCTAGGCTAGGCTACTCACCCGGTGATGGCCGTGTCCACTTCATGCACCAGAGGCACTGTCAGGACGAGAGTGTTGTCAAGCAGGGCTTCAGAACGCTCCACATTGCCGCTGTGCAGAAAGAGAAAATGAGGTGACGGGCCCACATGAGCTGGCCAGAAGCAGGCTTGCTCTCCCTTACTACAGTGTGTCTCTACATTCTCCAAGGCCAGCCTTACCTGCTCTGTTCTTGGCTCCATTTCTGGGAACAGAGTTGCTTATGCAGAGGCACAGAAAGTATTCAACTGTCTTATCTGGGTTTCACTCACAAGGATGTGGGGGCAAGTAGGTTATCTAGGAGGTGAGCCCAGGGAGTGGAGAGGAAAGCTGGGAAGGCAAAAAAGCCAGCAAAGACATGTCATCTGGGAGACTAGAACTGGAGGCTGCTGGGGCACAGTCTCATTGGAAGACAATGCACAGCCTACATCTCAGGCTTCCCAGCTGAGGCCATGGGAGCTGGGACTTTGTCCACTGACTCGAGAGCTTCTGCACCAGAGAGAAAGAGCAGACATGAATTCCCTCCTTGTCTTGTAAGTGAATGTGCTCTGGCCAAAGGGAGCCTTGGAAGGGTGGCAAGCCTGGCATGGGTGTGCGAGGGGTTATAGATGAAGTGCCCACTGTAGCTGCTGCTTCTGTATGTGCTTCTTCCATGGACGGTGGGCCAGTGAGGTTAGGGTACTGTAGCCAGGAAGGGGCTTGAGAGGTCTCAGCAGGTATTTGCTACTTGGAAGCTTCACCCACCCTCCATGGTCAGCCAAGCACAGAATAGAGGCCACACCCAACCTGCCATAATAAATCTCCCAGACACTTGTGCCATAGACTCTGGCAGGAACACTTCTCAGTAAGGCATCCCCTCCTTTGAGGGAAAAAGCAGAGAATGGGGATTCTGGAAAAGAGAACACAAGGTGCTGGTGCTGCTGGGTGGCTTCTCCATGCAGGCACCATGCTGGAAACTTGTCAGTGTGAGCCTGCAGTGACTTCACAGTGACCCTAGGCAAGACCACAACTGACAGGTGAGGAGCTGCTCAGAAAGTTGTGGCTCTCCCACAAGCCAGTCAGAGCTGAACCAGGGCTTTCTCTACTGTGACTTCTCTCTTGATGCCAAGCTCACCTCCTGGGATGGAATGAGTTGCTGAGATCTGCTGAGCTTCACACCTGTTCTGTGCCCTCTCTTCCGCCACCCCACTGCCTTCCTCTCCCACCCAGCAAGTGCTGAGTGGGAATAATACTTAAATAGCTCTCACATCCCTTCTCCTCTCTCCTATTGTTCGAAAACAATGGTTCTGGGTGTCTCTGACCCCTTAGGGTCATAGTCATTACTCCTGGGGTAGGATGACATCAGTGCAAGAGCAGGGCCAGGTGCCCACCCAGCCTAACTTCCTTAGTCTTTTTATTTTTTAACCTTTCTTTTCCAATGGGAGGGTCATCAAAGCCCAAGAATCACAAACATGAGTGAACCAGAGGTGGCTGCCTTGCCAAAAAGATAGCATCACCCTGGCCTCCTTCCCTCCTGTCTTCCATCCCAGCATCCTGCCAGCTCTGAGCATTCAGCTCCTGATGGAGGAGCTACCCCTTGTCTGACATGTGCAGACACCTATAGCTGCTGGGAGCTGAGGCTCAGTGGTCGCATCTGTCATCAGTCAATGGCTTGTGAATAAGCCAAGTTGAACAGTTGACATAAAGAGACCAAACCTCAAAATGCTCCCACCATCCTGCACACTCACTTGCTGGGATGCTTTCCAGTGGTCTGCAAAGCCAGACTCCTGGCCATGGAGAGGGGTGACTGCAAGACACTGTTTAGTCTCAGCATTATGACCTCCTAAATCTACAAGTAGGCAAGAAACCCTCCCAGGGCGGTGATGGAAGAATATCTGATAGTTTAACTGAGGGTTTCAAGATAAAGAGCTTCAAGGATTTGCCCAGAGTAGCTGCGAGTCCAGCGCTGCACATGCCTCTGGGGCAGGAAGGCCAGGTATCCTCCAAGGCCTGAGTAGAGGCAAGTGCCCCCCCATCCCAGTGTGTGTTTCAGATGATGCGAACTTCACCTTTGTAATTCGAGAAGCTAGAAATGCATATATTTACTTATTTCAGCTATGAACATTATCTGAAAGGGTGAATAAGGACCAAAGTGGATGACAGATACTGGGAAGTAGGAAGAAAATATTTGAATGGAAGGGGAGCAAGGAGGTGGGGGAGGAGGGAAAAAAGGGGGAAAAAGGGAGTAGAAGAAAAAAAATGGAAACAAAGCTTTTGTGAATAAGGAGGGGAAGAAGGGTAGAAGTGAGGGGAGGAAAGTGGGAAAAAAGAAAAATCAAAAAATATTATGTACAGGTACAAATTCCCTATGATGAATGTTATTATGTGTATCAAAAGTATACCAACAAAATTAAATTTAAAGAACATTAAGTCATCCGTGAGCCTGTGAAACAGTATTAATGTATAGACTGTGTTACTAGCATTTTCTTATGTGGCCCCAACTTAGCAGTGCAAATGTAAATCACAGATGCACAACAGAAGTTCATCAGATGATAATATGCCCAGCACAGTGCAGGGAAACACAGAGAGGGCTCCAGACGGGGCTGCTCAGTAGACTCATGTGACGAGCCTTCTCAAAACATCTTAGTGCTTGGTGCTTGCCCCAGACCAATTAGGTCAGAATCTCAGGATATTTTGGGTGTATGTGTGCGTGTGGTGGTGGGGGTAAGGCACGAACCAGCCTCGGGACGCCCTAAAGCTCCCCAGATTACGTCAAGGTGCATCCAGAACCAGAGCACCACCAGCCTAGACAGGCTGTTCTGACAGGCAGATCTTTCACCGCCCTCTCTGACCCCGATTAGTCACCATGAGGCTGGGAAGCAGGCAGTTTCCTCTTTTTGACAAGGGAAATCCTCTCCGTGTCATCATGTCATGTTCCTTCTCAGGAGCAGTGGCTACCTAGGTGCTGAAAGACTGAGTGCACACTGAAGGGTCTGCCCCGCAGTGGTGAGTTTGCTGTGCACCGAAGAGAATGAGAACTTCCAGATTTGAGTAGGCAATTTACCTCCTATATTGAACTCAACTACCTTATGCTTCGTGCTCAAGCTGCTGGCTTGGGTCACTGTGCAATGACTTTTGGTGGCTCCCCTCTGTCACAGGACTGTACTTCACATTTTCTGAGGCTTTGTCCCCAGGGTCTAGCTCAGGCTCTCCTCGTCTATTGTTTGATACTGGGGAATGAACCCAGAGCCTCTGCACTGAGCCACATTCCAGCCCCCTTTCATTTTTTAATTTTTATTTTGAGATAGGGTCTTGCTAAGTCATTAAATTGCCCAGCATTGGCTGGAATTTGCAATCTTTCTGCTTCAGCCTCCAGAGTGCTGGGATTACAGACACATGTCCCCACACCTGGCTCCACTTTCCACACAGGCTAGACTGCCATTGTGCACTCCCCAGCCCCCTCTGAGATGGCCCATGAATCTCCATTCACCCCCATGACCGCTTTCCCCACGGATGAGCACAGTGTCCACTGTGGACACACTGCCTGTGTGTCTCAACCTACAAACAGACTCCTCTACAGTGTCACCTCTTCAAGAAAGCCCTCTGGGATCCAGCCATGGGTATGGGCTCCCTTTCCATGCTTTGTACATATACCTTCTAGACTGCAGTCATGTTTACATGCACATGAATTATGAGATCTTTTTTTTTTTTTCATGTATTTAGTACAGGGTCTGTGGGGTCTCACTATACAGATCAGACTCATAGTGATCCCTCCTGTTTTTCGGCCTCCCGAGTGCTGGCATTATAGGCACTTGCCACCATGCCCAGTGTCAATGGCCACGTCTCAGCATGCCCCAGGAGCGGGGCCAGCAGAGCAGGCCAAGGATCAAACCCCGGACATCTGCGTCCGCCTAAGCAGGAGCTTTGATCCGCTAAGCTATATGGCCGGCCCTATGAGATCTTGAAAACAAAGTGAACAGAAAATAATCAGTCAAGTCTTCTGAACCAGTAAAAAAAGTGGTTACAAAGTTATCACCAGGGCCATTAAGCATGATTAGAACATGAATTCCAGATTAGTAGCAGTATTGTATCAATGTTCAATTTCCTGAATTTGATAACTATACTGTAGTTACTTAAGAGCCTTATTCTTTGGGAATGCACACTGAGTATATAGGGATCAGAGAACATGATTTCTTCAACTTACAAATGGTTAAGAAAAAGTTATATATAGAAAGAGAATGATAAAGTAAATGAGGCAAAATGTCACTATTGGATGAATGTGAGTAAAGGATATAGAGGAGGGTTTTAGTTACAGTATTCTTGAAACATTTCTATGTTTAAAATAATTTCCAAATGAAAATTTAAATGGATAGGTCTAACCACTACCACAACAAAGTCTGCATCTCCTTATTCATCCACCTGAATGCTTTCTCCTGCATCCTGGCCATCAGCTGGTTGCTAACTAGATGCTGCCTCAAGATATGAGTCAATCCTGGCTCAAAGAGACATCTTGTAACTCCTGAAAGGCCGTCCTAGATATCTGCAGCTATTCGTACTTCTGAAGGGCAGAGTCTCCACCACCATGCACTTCCCTACCTCTTCACCCTACTTTCAGGATAGCCCCTCTCTGGAGGAGCATCACTGGGGGCCTCTACCAGCCAGCTTGATCAGGACCTTGCAGTAGGTACCCTTCTTCTCTCCATTAAGGAATGCAGCTGTCTATCCTTCAGCAGCAGTTGGCCCAGCCTGAAAACCCAAAGAGGACATTGGTCTCATATGGGAAGCACAAGGCCAAGCAGGAACTGACCTTGAACTAGACTTCACCTGCATGGCCCTGTCTCTCTTCAGCTGTAGAAACATCACCTCCAACTAGGCGACTCCCAGCCCCACCCAGTTCAACTGGAAGCAGTGGCTATGCAAGCAGAGCTGGCTAATTACCCTTCCTGAAAGATCTGATCCTATTCAGCAACTGAAACTTTATCACTAACTGTCCTTTTCTCTTCAGCATTCCGAGAATCATCAAAATACGACCAGACCATGTCCTATCCTAGCCCCATAAATCATTTATTTATTCTTTTTAATTTACAAATACTTTATTGAAGTTCAGAAGAAAGAAAGAAAGAAAAAAAAAGCCACATAGATAAAGGGAAGATGATGGGAAAGGCATTTTCCACATAAGAAGACCCAGTCTTCCCCACAGCTCAACATGCCATTCATGTCATTCAAGTTAACATTTATTAGCCTTGCAAAATTTCAAAACAACCAGCAAATCATTTATCATTGACAAAAACGTTCGGGTCTCCCTTACCTCTGAGCAGTAACGATGAAGCTGAGAACTTCCTCTTCCCCAGACAGGTGGCTTGTATCAAAGATTACACTGAAAGCATACTAGGGAAAAAGAAAGCGATATTTGGCTTCAGTAAGCATGCCATGCTTAAACTACACTGGCCACGTTCCCCTTTTTATGACCCCTGGAAGCTCAGCTGCATGACAAACTTCATTTTTTATGCATATCTTTCTGCTGATCATACCAAAGACACAGCTTTTGCAGTAAAACCAAGTCCTCTTCCAGCCTGAGATTCCCTTTAGGGAGTGACATATTTGAACTCTTAAAGCAGGACATTCCAAATTTCACTTGCATCTTCTTCTGAATGCAGCCACATGTATATATCATGTCAGTTGTGATATTAAGTTCACATTCTTGTGGCCTCAGTCCTCTCTTTAAAGATTATTTTAAAAGAACAATTTATGTCACTATCATACCTGGGAATGCAGGCTCACTTGCCCTAAAGTGAAGCTAGTCACAAAAATATTAAATTCTGAAGGCTACTGAAGCCTCTGAGCCTAAAGTTCACTCTGTCTTTGTTCCAAAGTGAGACTGACAGGTGAAAGCGAGATGCTAAAGAGATACTAGCGCTGCTGGAGATGTTCTACATCCTTCGTCAGGATGGACAGGGTGTTGAAGGGCTGTGGGCTAACTGTTTCTGACATCCCAAATTCACACATTGAAGCTTGAACTGCCGATGTGATATGTGGAGTGACCTGGGAGGTAAATAGGCTTAGATGAGCTTGTGAAGGTGGGGCTCTGGGAGAGAAGGCCACGTGAACACACATGGAAAAGTGGGCTGTCTCAAAATCAGAGAGACTGCCCTTGTCTGTCTGATAGAACATAGTCTTCCAGCACCTATTACTTTACTTCTTCACCTTCAGAATGCTGAGAAATAAATGCCTACTTTCTTAGGCCACTCATTCTATGGCATTTTGCTTTAGAAGTCTGAGGGACTTAAGCAAAACATAATGATTTTCTTTCTGTTGAAGTCCATGTTGTTTAGTGCTGTGTCACTGTATCATCCCAAAATAATCCCATGAAGCACCTAAAATCATCATAGTGCATGAATCCCAGCGGTGAGCATCCTGTATTTTGGAGAACAGTGCCCTAAGCAAATATTTTTCAGCATATATACGCCAGGCATGTGAAGGAATATGAGAGGAGGATGTGGGTGGGGGCTGTAGAACCAGAATCTACCACAAAGTATGTGGCCTTGGCCAAGATCCTTAATCTCTTTGCATTTAAGTAAAAAGAGTAGGCCAGACAAAATAATTCTTAAATTTCATCAAGCTCTGAGAGCTTATGGCTTATTTAATATATATAAATTAGATTCCATTATGACAAATTCTAGGTAATGGTCAGATTTTCACAACACTGGATTCTACTGAATTGAATGCTACATGAGAGTAACTGACAGTGATCTCTTCTATTTGGTTCTCATCTACAGTGGACAAAGATATCCCTTTTGAGACAGAAATTTATGTCACATCTGTCCATTTATAGGGAAGGTGGAATATGGAGTCAGGCAGGAAGTAGGGCTGCAGAACACAAAAAAGGGGAGAATCAGTGGTGTTTTCTCAATATAGTCAGAGTGCCAGGAGATCTGAATGAGACATACTAAAGATAAAGCTCTCGGGTGAGGGGCAAGTGATTTGGCAAGAAGTCAAAGTCAGAAATAAGGCCTGAAACCAGACAAGTTGTCCATGAGTGACAAAGCAGAAAGTCAACCAAGATGAGCCAATAGCATAGTAATGAAGCTAAGCAGATGGCCCAGAGCCTCATGACCCCAGGGTCTGAAGGAGAGGGAAAGGAGAGCTGGGTGGCAGATGGGGCCCTGTCCTTTCTGGGTGACTTGTTGGGCTTTCTCACCCTCTACTCCTATGTCTCCATTTGTTATAGTTCTTGACATATACATGTGGGAGGAAAGTAGTGGCATTGCCAGCTGAAAACAAATCCCAACATTCTAATACTCATACTTCTGTTGGTTTGATGGCTATTTTAATGGTTAACAAATGTCAGTAAAATTTAACATTCCAGTGAAGATAGTAAGACATATTGTAGGTTCCATCTGGGTAGACTTCCTAATGAAATGGAAACTTAAAAATTTTCAATAAAGTCTATTTTCTGTTATTCAAGATATTACACTTACATGTGTGGCTGGAAGTATTACATGCATTATATGCCTAGGCCCAGTTGTGCATGCTTCAGGGTTGTCATCCTTCATCTCCAGCCTTGCCCACCTGGAGACTAATGAGACCTGACCTGTCTTCTGCCAGGTATGTGTGATCCATTTCTTAAGGGCAACCACTTCTCAAGGTTTCCCTTTTCCTGGCATGAATGTGAGAGGAGGAATGGAGCCAGAGACAGGCTGAGGATTCCCGGACATAACAGGGGCTGTGGTGTGGAGCAGGCACATTCAATGGGCTGATGGATTTGAGTGATTTCCTAAGAAATGAGCAAATCTTGTGCCTCACAAATCTGTTCTTACTATTGGTTTTCAGAACAACTCCTTGGTCTTGGGACCCAAAAACCTGAGAGACTAAAATGATTGATTCTATGACACAGGCAGCGGAGAAGATGAAGGTTTTACTTTTTTAGATATAAAAAAGGCAGACAAAGGAGATTAATTTTCCTTTAAATCTCACCAGGGGAAATAGCTTTCATTTCAAAAGGCAGACCTGGTCTTTTAAAAGAGTCTAGTTTGCTGGCCAAAACCAATCTTTTAACCACCTTCTTACCACCCCCTATAACCACAGAACACACTAACTGCTCCACGGAAGTCTGGGTATGTTGTACTACCTTATTGTTTGTGCTTCATACAAACGTCAAAGTCACTGCAATTTCTTTTACTTTTCAAAAGCAAGTGGCATGCAGGTATTTGTGGTTGAGAAGTTAGAGAGGTTTCCAGAGAATTCTGAGAGCCCAGGGGAGTTCCTGAGTCAGAGTCATAGGTCACTAACCTACACCACATCTTTTCCTGTGTTGTGGCATGGAATGTCCCAGAACAAGCCATTTTAGGAAGGCCAATCAAGTGCTACTTGCCAAAGAAGTCTGTGACGTGTCTTCCCCATTTAAGGGATATTTTAGTCAGCTTTTTCTTGCTGCTGTGACCAAATACCTGAGAAAATCAGCCTAAAGGAGAAAATGTTTATTTTGGCTCATGGCTGCAGATGTTTCAGTCCATGGCCAGCTGGCTTCAAGGTATAAACATCATGGCAGAGGAAGATTGTTCAATTCACGGCATCCAGGAAGCAGAGGGCAGGGGAAGAACCAGAGAGGACTGGCTAGGGACTGGATATAGTCCCCAAGGTCACACGCCCCTCCCCTCCTGCTGCTCTACCCAGACATATCCAGAAGCGCACTTTCCTAATCTTCTCAGTGACTCTCAAGCTAATCAAGTTGACAGACAAGATTAACTATAAAAGGGAACATTGCGTGCATCAAAGAGGAAAACAGCGAGAAGGCAGACTCTCTGGAGTGGGTCCACAAGTGACAGAAGTGTGCAGAGCTTCAGGGGCCACTGTAGGATGCAGAGTTGAGAGGGGGACAGCTGCTGATTTAAGCAGTTGATGAGAAGGGCTGGAAGCCAGGGGCCAAGAAAGTGTCCCAGTTCTGCTCCTTACCTTCGATTTTGACCTCATGAAAGGAAATCCCACGCTGCATTTGAGGAAGTCTGATTCTAGCAGCTCACAGGAGATGCCCATTTCCTCCTACAAGACAGAAATCACCAACATATGGGCAGGCAGCAAGGAAAACAGCTGTGTAGAGTGGATTCAGTGAGGGCGTCACATCCTTTGCAGTAGTTCAGACACCAGTCACTGGGACTATTGTGGGCTGGCGAGCCCTGACCAACTCCACAGGCCTCTAGCTGGCTACCTTTCCATGCTTCCCTGAGAAGACAAATGGTTAGTACAAACCACTGTTCCCTCTGAGCTAATACTCTGGGTCCAAACCCTCAGGCTGGTCTGGTAACCTGGGCCACAGATGAACTTCAAACCTCCTAAGTTCTAACTAAGAGGCAACCAAGTCATCTTTCCAGTTCTTTTCTCTCTAGCCCATCCCCCTATCTCTGCCTTTCCAGATCTTACTAGTTTAGGAATGATATATTCTAAGGAGATCACACTCAGTCGAGGAGGGCTTCTTTCTACAGCCTCACTTCCTTCTGCTGCAGAGGCTGGTCTGCCTACCTGTAAGTGTCCCCAGGGTGAGGATGAGAACCAGGGTAAGGAGAGGCCACCACTGTGACTACTTTGGGCTGGGCTCTGCATGCTGAGGCTTTAGCTCTACGCCCCTCTCACCAACCACAGCTGTGGTCTTCAAGGAGGCAGAGCACAGTATGGGCTCTGGCACACATGAAGACGCCTCATCGATGGTGCTGGTGACCCCTGCTCCCACCCAGAGACCTCTCTGAGACAAGTTCAGCGCACCTCAGCTGCACGGGAGTCATTTTGCCTGGGAGTTCTAACATCTTTTGAAGAGAGTATGGGTACCAAAGCACACCCCTTTTGTCTCAAGGTGAGATCAACTCCATTGTGCAGTTTATGTTTAGAGCTCCCTACAGGCCTGGGCGAAGGCAGATATTAGCTGAGTCTACATTCCTTCATAGCAACTTCCTCCACCTAGTTTGGCCTCACTTATGCCTCTTCTTCAAGGTCACTTGCTAAATAAATCACTTGCACAACAATCCCCACTCAGGTGCTGCTTCTGGGGAACCCAACCCCAGACTATAGATCTCCACAAGGGAGGCTTCTGGGAACCACAGCTACTGGCAAATGCAGTGCCTTTGCTCCCAGGTGGGGAGAGGCAAAGAAGAGAAATAAAGAAGATATATTTATGTATATTAATTTTGCTTAAATTTATAGTAAAAAAAAGAGAAAACTGTCCTAATTGCAGTTTATAACATTCATACGTAGCTCCTCCCATTAGGGAACCTTTACCTTGAGGCAACACTGGTACCTCTTCTTTTAACTTAGGCCCAAGGTAAAAACATATTTGCTTTATTAGGGTTTTTACACCAGCTGGGCATGGTGCGCACACCTGTAGTCCCACCATTCTGAGGGGCTGAGACAGGAGGAGCCTACCCTTGGCAACTTAGTGACTTAGGAGGACCTTCTCTCAAAAAATTTAAAAACATGAGGGATATAAGTCAGTGTAAAGACCATGGTTTGAAGCTTCAGAACTGAAACAAACAACGACAAAAAACGACAAAAAAAAAAAAAAAAAAAAACAACAATTTCTAAAACGAAAAAAGGAAATAAAACAGGAAACGTTTTCCTGTTTTAGGTCACACCCAACAAATAAGTTTAAAAGACAGGGTCACTGAGAAGCATTGTTTAGAGATAGCAAGCTAGCTCTGGCTAGCATTCAAGCAGGACCCTAGCTGCAGAGAGACCCCAAACTTAAAATATTTTAATTAAAAAATAAAATTCAAGTTTTAAAATAAATTTAATGAAAATTTAATTCTCAGGAGATGTGGCTAAACTTAGTCCCCCCAGCCTTAGGAATCGTGTTACTAGGTGTGTCTCGGTCCAGGGTTGCTTATTCTCCTGCAGGAGGTGTAGGAGAGACCAAAGGGCCTGGGCTTCTTGTCCTGGCTCCTTCCTTGCTCCAATTACTACTCACAGTGACTCGAGAGAACTTTCACATTTATGCCAAGATCATGATTGTACCAGACTCTGCTGACTGAAATTGTGGACCAGTGAACAATCTACCCATCCAGTGTCCCTGTCTGCCAAGAGTATAAAATGTGATTATCTGATTCAAATATAGTGCAAATCTAAGAGTGAAACCCAAACCTTCTTCAAAAGATGCAGGCTTTCACAAAAGGAATGTTGGAAAACTGGTCAAGCCTCTGCAAAGCCACTGTCAATCTGAAACGTGGAAGAGTTACCACCATCTAGTTTTAAAGAAGTCAAAATCATCCTGGATGATAACACTGTAAGATGATTCAGAAGACAAAGTTTAAATTTAAAAAAAAAATCAATGAAAGCCCCTGGGAAAAATAAACCATTATATAACCAATAGTTCTGTGACTGTATTAAAAAGAAAGATAAAATAAGAAGCAAATTATGATACACAGTAGGAAAATTCACACTCCAAACTGTCTACCCAGCACTCATTTCCTGCTTTCGTTTTGGAAATCGGAGCATATTTTTGTTGTTGTTTGTATCTTTGTTTCAGTTTTGGGGCTTCAACCCATGGTCTTTACACTGACTTATATCCCTAATGTTTTTAAAATTTTTGAGACAAGGTCCCCTAAGTCACTAAGTTGCTAAGGATAGGCTCCTCCGGTCTCAGACCCTCAGAAAGCTGAGACTACAGGTGTGCGCACATGCTCAGCTGGGCCCAGTTATTGTAGTTAAAGACCCTAATAAAGCAAATAAGCTTTTACCTTGGGTCTAAGAGATCTTTGACAATTCTAGTTATAGTGTTACAAATGTTATTAAATGGGAGAAAATAAAACTATTGTTTGTAATTTTTTAGTTTCAGTTTTCAAGCATAGTCCCAATCAAAACCTTTAAAAACATTTTTACTATGCAATCTTGGACTCTATTTGAAGAGGATTCACTAACTGGCCTTTTTCCCAGTCCCATTTCTTTGGCTCACAATGGCAGCAATACTGTAAAATACGATCAGGGTCCCTCCCTGGAGATTACAGGTAATTCAATTTAAGTTTTCTACTAATGCACCTTACTTTTACAATCAGGAAATCATTAATTAACACTTTTAAGAAACAAAATAATGAAAAGCATACTTGGTTTGTGCATATTTGCTTCTGTATTTTCAGTGCTTGGTCCACACTAGTCCCTGAGTTTACACTTATTAAATGAACAGTCATTGGCTCATGGAAGATTCAGTTAAAGGGACTGAATACAAGAAGCAGCTCATTTGCTGGCTGCTTGGCATGAGGGATGCTTGCCTTGGCAAAGCCCTTCTGTTTTCCAGACATACCTTGGCTGTCCCAGCCCTGGGAGCCTGGCCAGAAGAGCCAGGCTCCAGCCCTCTTCGCAACGTGCAGTGGTTGGGAGAATCAGATAATGAAGTTAGTGAGCCTCTTTGGCCTCCAGCCTCCCACTTCTCATTCATATGAGCACTTAATTTCAGGCTGGGGGAGAACTTTATTTGACCACCAATGCAGTGTTCTTCAGGAAGAAAAAATCTATGAGGTCTCTAATGGGCTTACTCTTAGTGTCAAGTGGAGTGTGAAGCTTAACTTCTCATTTTCTAGATCCTGAGCATGTTTGTCACACTGAGGATGACCCTTAGGTCTCTGTGTCTGGCTGTCAGTTTGGTGGTGTCCCTCTAAGATCCCTTCTAGACACACCAGGAATGAACTTTGTGACCTAGAAGAGAGGCCTTTTAGCTGATTTAGAATTCAGGTGAACTGGTAAGTGCTTTCCTCAAATCCACTAAACAGGTGTCATCAGAGGGGAGCAAAGTCCCTACTAACCTGGCCCAGAGTTAACGAAAAGAGGACTTAGTGCCAGAAAATATTTACTAGCCCCACTTAATGATAACTGCCTATGCTTCACTAAAGCAGTCCTACTCACAGAAGAACCCCCTTTAGTGCTGAGTTCATAAAATTCCTGTTGGTAAAGAAAGGCACGTGGGCTTGCAGCTTGGAAAATACAGACTTTGGTGTTAGCGCCCAAACTCTGATGACTATTCAGATATCTGGCAGACATGTGCTGCCAGGTCAGGTTATTGTCTTTCCTATAAGCCTCAATCTTCTTACTTCTGAAGTGAAGTTCTGACCCCTTCTGGTTAAGCCTACTGCTGCACTGCCAAGGGCTTAGGATGGTGGCGAACATGGTCCCTATATGGGAAGGGCTACTATGAGAGAGGCAATGTTTTAAACGTGTTATCTGAGTATGTCATGCAGTAACTCCTCTTTCTGTTCCCATTTTACAAGGAGGAGGCTGGAATGTAAAGATGTCACATCACTTTCATTGTGGTTCGCATTTGGCAAATGATGGCCCCAGGATCTGTGTGGGCATGTTCCCTCTGAAAGTCTGTGCTTACAGCCCCTTCTCTGCATGTTCTCTTTAAATGCTAACTTGTATCTGCTGGCCAGCACCTCACTCACCCTGTCCCAATCTCCCTATAGAACATGACATGGGTTTTGAATACATAGTACAAGGGACAGAGACTTATTTGAAAACTTGACATTACAATTGCAGCTGTCCCACTACACTCCTCACGTGGCACATTTGCATAATGCCTCATCTCTATTTGTTCAGGCTCTGAATGTGCATTCTTTGCTGAGTGTCTGGCATGGATAGTTCTGGAGTCACAACAAGCGCAAGCAATGATTTTTCTGAGTAAAAAATGAACACCCAGTGCTGACCCATGACCCCATGGGCCTCCCACTGAGTGAAGCCCCACAAGGAAGTGCTACTATTGATGCATGCTCTGGAGTAGCAAAGTACTTGCAGAACAAAGTGGGCCAAAGAATCTTTGGGCAGGGATGCACAGGATAAACCGTTTTGTTGACTGTGTGGATCTCAGAGCCCATGGAGTCCATTTTCAGGAAACATGGAGAATGTACACAAAGTTTTCCTTGGGCAAACTTAGGCATTATTCAGCTATACATCCATTCTCTTATTCATCTAGTGAATATCTACAAAACACCAGATAGAACAGCAGAGACACATAGACAGGCAAGATGAAAGCTCTGATTTTGAGGAGGCAAAGTTTAGCGAGCAAACGA